ACAGTCGAAAGTCTGCCACCAGCAATTTTTTCTTCTGAACCCTCCAAATCATAAAAACCACCATCAACTATATTTTTATCCCTTAAGCTCAGGAGTTTTTTTTCACTGCTGGTCGGATTTGTGTTTAATCGCTTCCCTTGACAATGCCTGTAAATTGGCATTAAATAAAATTTATTTAGTTATTTATTTATCTGTGTTCCTATCGACTCGGGACTGATCTTCATGATGCCCTTACAGAATGCGCTCCATCGGCGGTCTTGACAAAGCCTTCTATATTCGCCATATACTAGTAGTCTGGTCGCATCTCCCTTCCCCCATGTTCGGATGGACTCGGTTGAATGAAACCGACCGCATCTGGGTTCCTATCAGCGTGAGACTGGTTTTCAATGTCGCCACTTATTTTTCTTATTCAAGGCGATACAGGCCAGTCCTGACCGACCCGCCTACGTACCATTTTATGAAATCCGTTACACAATGCCATATACAGCTGACATTTATTTTGGCCATGTTGATGTCGGACTGTATTCCATTCTGTACCGCCACATGCAGGTCAGTCCTCCCTGTATTTTTCTGATGCTATTTTTCTGAGGGTTTTTTTTTCTCCTGTTAAATTACTACAATCATTTTGAAATTTTGCTTTGGAGTTTTTTTCCACCCCTCGTTTTTTTTCATTTTCATTTTGCTTAACGGACTTCTAATCTCAAAAACTATGTATTGCACTTTGTACAGATTTTGCCTACCTCGTCTAAAATTCGCATGTAAATTTATTTTACTTGCTTTGATGGGACCCCGACGGGTCTTTAATAAAAATAATTGAATTGAATTGAAGTAATTAGAAATTTGGTCGTACCTCCCTTCCCGACTCCTCGGCTGGGCTCGAAGCGTACTGTGTCCGGTCGCGTCTGGGCTCCTCTCGTTTGGCCTCTTTGACGCGAATAGTCTCATCCGGCGTATCAATCCTGTTCTGGCGACGTCATTTCTGAATCCCGTATGTAATACCACATGCGTGCCAGTCCTGTCCGACCCGCATACGTACGCCTCAAGGCTGACATTTATTTCTGCCCTGACGATGTCCGATTATAATCCGTTATGTACCGCCACATGCAGGTCAGTTCTGCCCGCATTTTTCTGTTATTCTTTTTTATTGTGGGTTTTCTTCTTCTGTAAAATTAAGTCAGTTTAAGTCAGTTTATTAATGGAATGAGGCTTTCGCCCTTGAGTTCCATATTCATATCGATAAACAGAAATAAAGTCATCAGTTACACCAGCAAATGCGGAAAGTTAAAAAATTAGCGGTAAGTGTGAGCCAGGCGCAAGCTGCCGCCGCTTAAACAATCGTCATTATATGTAGAGTAGTTCCTCAACAAATGAGCATCTGGTCTACACTTGAAGGAAATAACCACTGCATCAGGGATTCCGTTCCATGCCCCAAGGACCCTGTGATAGAAGGCGTTCCGTCAGACGTCCGAATAGGCCAGCTTCCTCTGCAGTTTGAAGGGATGACCAAGCAGGCGGCCAGTCCTGGCCAATTCGAAGAATTCATCAAAGTCTAGGGCACACTCACGATCTCTGACAATCCTGTAGGTGTGAATGAGGTCGCTGCGCAGTTTTAAGTGGAGTCCTTTTTCACTGCTCTCTAATCATTTTTCTTAACATACTACAAATTCAGAAACAATGAATTGCATTTTGTGCAGATTATGCCTGCCTCGTCTAAAATTCTATGAAAATTTATTTTTACTTGTTTTTCTGGGACCCCGACGGGTCCTTAATAAAAATTATTATTATTATTATCATTGATGAGTTAGATGGTCGAACAACCCTTTGACTGAAGGAGAACATTCTGCAGTCTTGCCGCGTGCGTTTTTCCTGACTTATTAAGGATGACCAAGTAATCAGTTTATACCGGCAAACTCAAAAAGTCCTCTGTTCTCAGTGAACAACCTTGGCCACGGACTATTTGGTATGTCCATGTGGACTGTAGTTTAGTTGCCTATAGGATAGAGGGAGTAAGCCAAGCATATTCAGTTTCTCGTGATATGGCAGATGCTTTAGGCCATCGACCATCTTCGCTGCTCTGCGTTTCACTTGTTAGAGTAGGTCAATATCCTTCTTCATCCATGTAGAACCTACTAACATTCCATATTCCTCGTGGAGTCTTACAGAGACGTTTAAATGCCTTCCGAATAGTTTGGTAGGAAATATTCTATATGCATGTCTGATCCAGTATACAGTACGGCTTGCCTTCTGGACCATCATTCTACAGTGTTCTGATGGCATTATATTTGTGGTCGCCCAAACACCCAAATTTCTGTGTCTTTCTACAACTTTTAATGCCGTGCCGTTAAGATATTATAGATGTTTGGAAGAGGTATTTCGGCCGGCGTTTAGGTGTGAAACCAGGCATTTGGACACATTAAACTTTCGACGCCATTTGTTCGACCAAACACTCAGTTTGTCGACAATCGATTGCAACTTCTTTGCGTCATCATCGCACTTGACTTCACTCCACACTTTCATGTCACCTGCGAACATGAGAGTTTCACAGTGTAGTTTGCTGATTTAATCAATTACATAAATTTGGAAGAGTAGTAGGCCTAAAACAGTGGGACACTACTTTCCCACTTTGCCCATTTCGACGTAGTGACCCCAGCAACAACACTTTTCACTCTGGATGACAACAAACTCCTGAGCCATTTGAATATTCTTCCTTGAATTCCTACATTCCAGATCTTCTGTAAAAGAAGCCTGTGTGGGACACTATCAAAGGCCTTTTTGAAGTCGAAAATATGACATCTTCTGGATAGTCATTGTCTGCGGCTCTTATTCATTTCTCTTGCGAGTACAGAACACACGTTAGGCAGGAACGCCCTGGACGAAATCCGTGTTGGACATCATACAATATTTTTTTTCCAGGTATTCCACCAGATGACTTTCGGTGATGCGCTCCATTATTTTGCGCTCGATGCAAGTAAGACTGACGGGAAGATAATTTTACCAACCAAGGCCTAAACCCTTATGGAACAGGGTGAAGAATGCGCGCTTTTGTTCCTGTGGGAGTTTGCCTTCTTCGAATGACTTTTGAAATATGATAGACCGTGGTTAGCACAGTTCATAAGCAAGTTCGCCCAGTTCTTGAGCGGGAATTCTATCCGGACCAGACGATTTGACTGGCGTCAGTCGGAGTAGTTCGGCCCTAACTGTAGCATATGAAAAGTGTAGTTCCTAGATTGAGGAGGGTAGGGAGGGGGAGGAGGGACAGAGTGAGTAGAAGAACATTAGTTGGAGGACGGGTGGAAGGGCAAATATAAAATTAGATTTCCGAGTAGAGACGGACTGAAAGAAATTAGAAATGATGGACGCTTGAACCTGGTCATCAGTCTCCAGTCTTCTATCTGCAGACCTGAGGGCAGGGTTGAGTTCCTGAGCTCTTTTAGGGCTTCGTAGACAGCTATATAGAATTTCAGGTGTTCCAACGGATTTTGCACTATGTTCAGTTCTAAGTCCCTCCGCAGCCCAGAAGCCTCGTTTCTACAACTTTTTCGTTGCAGCTTATATTTTTCTAAGTGCTCTTCGTAGCTGGTTGGTCTGTAGCGCCGCCACAGGCGATTCTTGTTCTCCAAGAGGCCTGTAAGTTCAAGTTTATCCACTTTGGGCGGTTTGCAATTGTCTTTCGTCTGAGAGGACAGTTGGAATAAACAAACCGATTTTCCCGCCGCTTAATAGAACTCTTGCTCCAATGGAAACAATGCGTCCCCCACCCCCTGATTTGATTCCTCCGCGGCCGTTTTACCACGGTATTCCTCATTCTTATGTCCATTCTGGATCGGTCAACTCATCCGATCCTCAGTTTCGTTCCGGCGGGAATACGTTGCAG